AAAAAAAAAAAAAAGGCAAATTCTTTATTATTACCATAGATCATCTGAATTCTTTTTTAAATAACCTTCTGACAATAAAATTCTTTGTTTTGCTATTGAATATCTTTAAATCTTAATCAATTGAGCTATTTTATTAGAAGATTTAAAATAATTAGCTATGTTAAGATTAAACTAATAGACGTATACATGCATCTCTATTTCCCTCTTATTATACAAAATACTTTGAATCTTTCTGAGTAATGAAGTCAAAGCAGTTCTGCTTTGTAAATGTTGCTAAAGGAAATTGTTGATTATGTTTTCATAGCTAAGAAACTATTTTTTGTCTTCTTAATGACTCAAATTTATTTTAGTCTTAAAATTTCTATTCACCATTGACTATAACTTTGTAATTCATCTGTGAAGGCTACTTTAGTTGCTTTTTGCTATCATAACAGCACGCCTGACCTCCCCTACACTGTGATGCTGTCTGCTGAGCAGAAAAACCAGTTCAGGCATACAGTATGTGTCCTTAGTTATCATGTCTGTGGACTAGAGTCTTGCGGAGCTGAACTTTAAAAACACTATGTATCCTTTCTTTCACTACTTTAATTTTAAAAAAATAGTGTTTACCCATACAATAAATATTAAGAATGTCAAATTTGTTCTGTTTTACAATTGGAGTTGATATCATTATCTGAGTCCAGTTTGAAAGTCATAATCCTCCCCATGGTTTTTCTAGAATGTAATGGAAAGACATCATTTGAGGCAAACATTTTTCTTAATATTTACCTTCGGGTTGCTAATAACTTCAGGCACTTCATGAAGTTGGGAAATGCATTTGGAATGTTAGTTGCAGATTGGCATAAGAAAACATTTTTCTACTTTTAAGCTAAAGTTTGGTGCTGCATTGTAATGCACTTTCTGCAATAACATTTTGCATATTCTTATTGCCCTGGAATTTACCGATCAACAGTTGACATCAGAAATTATATCTTAAGTATTTGATTTCAGCATAATTCTGGGAAATTCTTGTTTAGTAACAAACTCTGCATGAGTAATGTTCAGAGGTTATGTTCAACATGCATATAATTTCTGTACAAAAGTTCACAGCTCATTGATTTGAATGCTTACATCATTCTTTACATATTAAAAGGGACACGTGTTCTTATTGGGGTGTTGGATTGATATCCTAGTATCAAACAGCATTCCTTCACTTAAAATATCATTTATCAGAATACTGAAAACTTTATATTGCATCCTCATTATTCCAACATCTTCATTAATAAAGTTGCTAGTGATATTACAGATGCTACTATTATTATACAGTTATGACACTACTATTTTTATTGGACTTGTATAGCAGTCTGCTCTTTAGAAAAATCGCACTTATTCCTAAATTATTAAGAATATACATTTTATATTTTTAAAAACAATCTACCCAAAGAACATTGCTGTATCATTTTAAATACAGAATGAAAAATGCAATTAAGTAGAAAGTATTCATTGACAAAGATTTATATATAAATCTTTTCAAACAATTCAGAAAAATATACAATATATAGAGTGAATCAAAGGATGGAGTCCATAACCCAACTATCCATTAGAGAGCAAATAGGATGGTTCAAGTTTGCATTCTGCTACTAAGTTGTGCACTATAATTCAGTTGTAGGCTTCAACAGCACAGGGCAAAATAATCACTATAGAAATCTTGCATTTCTCTCTCAGTACCAGTTATGTTGCTCAGCACTTAATAGTATTTATTGAGAGCAATCACTTCCAACTAAGCGGCTGGTCAAGCCTGTTTCATCTGCTTTTTATTTTGTTGATATATGCAAGGATACCAGTATAATTTTTCTTTCTTTTTTTGTTCAAAACAGAATAACAGAATCCAAGTTTACTTTCATTGGACTGTTCAGGTCAATACTTAGAATTTAAAGAATAATTAGTTCCTGCTTGAAAGTAGGCTTAATATTTTGTGCTGTTGGAGATTCTTGAGATCCTTTGTTCCTGAAGTCTAGGATTTCTTATCTTCAAAGGAATATTGAAATGTGGTGTGCAGTCTATAATATATTATAATCTAAAACTGGAGAAAAAATTAAATTGATTCACATTTTAATACTAGCCTTCTTAATTTATACTTCTTGAATTAATACATGAACCAGAATACTATTGTCCTTTGGTGTTTGCAGTCAAAACCATGCATATAAAAATGTGAATTATGAGGGAAAGTAGTATTAAAAGAAATTGCTTAGTAAGTTTATTAAATGATATATTGCATTGCATATGAGAATGTGCATATGAAATTGTATGAATACTCATGCTTATTTTAAAATGTTATAAATTAGTGCAGATATATGATGCTTGAAAAAAGATAAATGTAGAAAAAAAATTGTCCAGCAGTCTTAAAATTAAACAGAGTGATAAGGATTTACCCCTACTCAGAAGTTAAATGTCAGTGAGACTTTTTTCTTATTTCTTTTCAATATTGGATAATGCAAATATGGACTGATCTGCAGAATAACTGTTTCTTTCATAATTTACTTAGACACTAATGATTCGAGATTGGTGGATGTGCATGATTATCAGTGTAATGTTTGAGTTTCTGGAATACAGTCTAGAACATCAACTTCCAAATTTCAGTGAATGTTGGTGGGATCATGTAAGTCTTAATTACTTTCTTAAAAATTTATTCAGCATGTAGTGGCTCAAATCCATTTTTCAAAAAGCCACTTCACAGGATTTAGTCACTAGTTAAATATGAATAGCTTCGGTGAGAGTAATTTTTCTTAGATTCTCCTGTCTAGAGACCATGTAGCATTGAACTCTGATATAGTTGGATTCATAAATGATGTGCAGTTCCTTTTATTACTAATTTATCTAAATAGTTGATGTAAGGTACACATGAACTAGGCTTCTGGTTAGTTATGCTTTCCATAAGAGTAATTGGCTGAATTTAGATGTAATAATAAAATATAATATTTTGTTATGTTAGTGTGACTAGGCAAGCTGTGAATTCTCATGTTTTTCCTCTGTAATTTTCATTCATCTTAATTCTCATTTATTAAAAAAGTAAGTAGGAGACATACACTAACCATATTATTTTATTGGGAGCCCAATTCAGTGCTTAGGAGTCTAGCTTACTCTTTTTGACTTGAGACCCAGCAATGTGCAAGATTCATATTTCCTATTGACTAGACTGAGAAGAGGAAGTCTTAGCACTTCCCTCTTCCACCAAGCCTTTTTAGTCAGGATTGCTGGAAACAAGGAGAATTAGACTTCCCCTTTTTTCAAGCAATGATGCTTGAGCAGAATTGCAGGAAGCAAAAGAATAAGAACAATACACAGCTAATTAATAAACCATTCTGTGAAATAGTTTTAGAGATTTTCTTGATTTGGGGAGTTATGTGGTACTCATTAGGAAGATTACCGTATTTTTCCGTCAATAAGATGCCCCCATGTACAAGACGATCCCCACTTTTCCAACCCAAAATTAAGAAATCAATATTTTAAAGATAGT